GTCAATTGCTTGAATGGACAAAAAAAACAACTCGCTGATAATAAAACTTTTATTTATAGACTTTTATTAGCATAACGAACGAATAAAAATAACCCCATGCATAGGCTGAAAAAAGTGAAAATCGGCTAAATGTGGGCCCAAACAAATAAGAACCATAAAACGTTTATTAACGAATAAGAAAATAAAATAGGCCTAAATAAATTACACAAAGTTTAAATGAGATAAAACCAATTAAAAAGAGACAAATATAAAATAAAAACTTCAAAACGGACCTTAGCCTACATAAATGACATACTTTCACTTTCGAAATAAGCGTCAATTGCAATTCAGCGTCAATTGCTGGAATGGACACAAAAAAACAAAACAAAAAAAAAACAACTCGCTGACAATAAACTTTTATTTAGACAGCACTTGTATTAGAATAATAAACGAATAAAATATAGACAGAACTTTTATTAGCATAACGAACGAATAAAAATAACCCCATGCATAGGCTGAAAAAAGTGAAAATCGGCAAACTGTGGGCCCAAAAAAAATAAAACGTTTATTAACGAATAAGAAAACAAAATAGGCCTAAATAAATTAAACAAAGTTTAAATAAGATAAAACCAAATAAAAAGAGACGAATATAAAATAAAAACTTAAAAAAGGACCTTAGCCTACATAAATGACAGCACTCTAAAAAAAGTAAAACACTATAAATTGGCATTTATTAACATTAATATATATTAGCCAAAATATTGCCAAACAGGCGCTTTTGCATTGCGTTTTGACACCAAATCTTCCGCCATTATCTTGCTTTTCTGTAATTTGACTCGTTCTCGTCTCCACACGTGCTAAATGGAATCCTGATGCTTGCTGATCTGTGACGGCACGCGTTGCGCAGCTCATTTTTAATTATAATGCTGTCTTCAGAACTAAATAATTGAAAATTATTATTTTTAATTAATTCAAATAAATATTTTAGCAAAAACGAATACTTTAAAAAAAAAAGTCAAGACATCGCGGTGTCACGGTGGGAAAGTGATGTCACCGGTGATGGGGCTTAAAACCGGTAACACCGTCAACACCGTCTATCGCGGCAAGCCTAATACAGAACACGGTGTTACTCACGTCACCTGTCGAGTAAAACACATGCAAGATCGGCGTCTCTTTCTAGTTCGAGTTTTTCACGAAGTTCCCTCCATTTAGGAAATGCCACACCGATGTTGAGCTGGTTTTATTTCTCTTGTCCCAAATTCTTCTTGGGTCGTTCGGTTGAACCGTTCGTTGACGTTTGCGTTTATGAGACAGAACCAGGTGCAATCGCTAAAGAATAATTGTGCTCCATTCCATAACAAATGCGCGAAACAAGCTGACGTTTGTCGCTTGATAGACGCTAACGCACAACTACAACTTCCGCATTTGTCCAGGACTACACGCGGTACGAGCGGAAACCGAGGTAACGCGGATATGACGCGATTTCCTTGGTTTCCTTGGTTAAAATCTCCATTTTTTTGAATGTCATCATTCTAAAAAATTTTGGGAAAATCTATCTATATATTTTCAACGGAAATCAGGTCATAATTGTGTATTAACACCCAAAGATGTTATTATATATTTTGAGTCAAAAACTACGTCTGTAAATTTTATGATTAATCTTATGATTCTATTTGGCAAATTTCACATTCATAAAAGTAAATTTAATAATTCTAAGCCTTGTTTAAAGGTTTTTTTGGCTGATTTTATGTTGTATATTGAATCTCTTAAATCTATAGATAATAAGAAATGCTCGGACACAATTGTATTCGCTAAAGAATTGAAAATAATTGAACAGTGAAGAATTATATGTTTCTCTTCTTTCCTCAATACTGTCTTGGATTGTAATTTCTCGTAGCTATTATATTTATAATTAGTTAAATTTAGCCCTTATATTTATTTTTTTATTTATTTTTATTTTTAGTCTCTTGTTCATTTATGTTAAACTATTTTTGGAAAATTTTGGATTGTTGAATAAAAAAAAATAAAAAAAAAATAAAAAAAATCTCCATTTTCTCGCGATTTAAACATTGTTTGAAACATTTGGAATATTGTAAGTTATCATCTTAATTAAATATATAACACTAGCCTTGTGATTTGGGGATATTTTAATGCAAAAATCTTAGTTATTCCACCTTTAATGTCTAAGGTGGAAAAATAGTTGTTTTTTTCCCTTCTGGTTTTAAGGGGAAAAAAATTCTTAGAGTGTAATATATTTTTATACATGAAGGAATATATATTTTATATTTTTTTGTAAAATAAGAGACCCTAAAAGTCAAAGTCTCTCTCTCTCTCTCTCTCTCTCTCTCTCTCACACACACACACACACACTCTCAAGAGAGAGGGCTGCTCCTCATAAAACCATTAACTTTCAAAGAACTAGAGTGTGTGTGGCCGGTCAGGCTTTGGTATGCACATGTGTGTGCCAGCTTTACACAGCCCCTAGTAAGAACCCTACCTAGAAAGCATCCTAAAGTCAACAGAATGCTCTATAAATACTACACATACACATATGCTTACACTACCAATGAAAATTTTACAATGTTTAGTTGAAAAAAGTCTCTTCTGCTCACCAAGGCTGCATTTATTTAATCAAAAAAATTTAATCAAACTATTACTCTACTGTAAAACATCTGTTTTCTATGTGAATATGAAGAGTTCAGATGCAAAAGCCTCTAAATGCCATTTGAAATTTTCTTCTAGAATGGTCATTTTTATCAAGCTTGTATATTTGAGTTTAGTAATTTCACTTAATTGTCAATTAATAGGCAAGGCAAGTTTATTTATAAAGCACATTTCATACACGATGGCAATTCAAAGTGCTTTACATGGAAGAAATTAAAATAATCAAAAGAAATCAGAATAATTAAAACCGTTTAGAATAAAAAATAAGAAATAATGAAAAATAAAAATTATGATAAAAATAAAATACAGTAAATTAAAACCATTTAGAATAAAATGAAGTAAAGTAACAGTCGGACGAACAGTGGCACAGTGCTCATTCAGTAAATGCACAGCTAAACAGATGTGCATCTCACATAATAGGTAATCTTCTTCATTGCCATTTAAGTGAAATTACTGAACTTAAATATACAAGCTTTATAAAAATTATCATTTTAGAAGAAAATTTCAAATGGCACTTAGAGGCTTTTGCATCTGAACTCTTCATATATACAGTAGTAAAGTGTAATTTATTCCTGTGATCAAACGATATATTCAGTCGCATAGAAAATGCAGCTTTAAAATATTTCAATTTTCAATAGTCCTTTTTTTTTCATAAAGATTCACCCAACGACCTACGACGATCAAAACATGATTGAGCTTAAAATGAAACGAGCAGCATCATCATCCAGGAACGTGTTTTTTTTTTTTTCTTTCCGTTTCTGAAAGACCTCTCGGATCCTACAAGCTTCATTTAGCGGGAGATCCTCCCAGCGCTGGGAAACACTCCAGCCAAGGGGAAAAACACAGTCAAGTCAGCAGAAACGGCTTAAAAATAACCCAATTGAGATCATTTCTTTTCTATTGCGGAAAACTGATATAAATAATTCCACATAAAAGAGTGGCGTTGAAGCTGACGGCAGTTAATGATCGGGGACACGTAGCCGCGACGGCGCCGGTGTGTTAGCGACGCTCACGGGACGCTCGAGGCAGATCTCCAAGACCATGTTGCTTCAGCTTTGATGCAAACGATCAGTTGTGATGCGGTTACGAGACAATAATGCGTATTATAGTTGCCACCCGTCCTGTAAAGTACAGAATCGTGCCGTATTTTACACAGTGAAAACAGGGAATGAATTGTCAGAAACAGGATTACTGCACTCAAAAAAATGAACTAGACAGGTTGTGCACTTTACATAATATATTTATATATTGTTTACTTATAATAATTTTTTCTATTAAGGTCTTTGTAATTGTGTCTCAACTTAACAGTACAAAATCCTAATGTGTTGTCTAAACACAAACCATTTATGTTAAGTAAAAATATGTGTACATCCAGAGGGTGGCAGTATAGAGCGAGCCGACTGCCATTTTGCCCGAACTTAATTTTATTGTGTTCAATCTGCTTTAATCTACGAACAACTTAAGTTTACTTAATTCGGATTACATGATTGATTTGTGTTGCCTTAACTGAAACTGGGCGGTGCTTTTAGTTCCCAGCATGCTTTGCATACGGTTGAATTAAGAGAGAATAAATGTTATTTCAGATTTCAGTATTTTCAATTGCTTTGAATGAAGGAGCATGTAAATCTTCCCAGACAGCAAACTGACATTGAATCAACGTGGAAACGACGTCTCTCATGACATCGAAACAACGTTGATTTTGCTCATCGAATTAACGTTGAACCAACGTCAGACGCGGCATTCTTCAAAGCTAAATGAAAATCGAAAATTGGTTTGCTTTCATAACGTTGAAAAAACGTTGATTTCAAGTTGATTTTCCGTTAGTTTTGAAAGAATGACGCGTCTGACGTTGGTTCAACGTTAATTCGATGAGCAAAACAATGTCAGATCAACGTTGTTTCGATGTCATGTTTCCACGTTGATTCAATGTCAGTTTGCTATCTGGGTTAGCATTCAAGATGTTAATATGTGCTTCTGTTAGCAAATAGCTAGCTAAAGTCTATCAATTTAATTAAATGTCACTGAATCAAATGAAACATAAATGGATGAATGAATATAATAAAACGCCTTTGAATCATGTCAGGAAGCCTTTAAAAATTCACGTTGAGACTACTTAAATCGGGTAATTTCAAATTACATAATTCCATTATGTTGAAGTTACATAAACAAATTGTGTTTGTTTAACGTAATCCAGTTATGTGGAACCTGTTGACAAAAAATTTATTAAAGCCAACATATTATTTTTTTGAGTGTGGTTCAGAATGACACAGAGTTATGTAGAAATAAATAAACATTTGTTTGTTTTGAAGATCCTAACCGACCCAAACCTGAAAGCAAAAGCTTGGCAAACGTCTCACCTCGTCATCCTTGTACCAGGACAGCGATTCGGCCGTCAGCACAAACCAGTACTCTTTAGCGCCGCCCTTCATGATGCCGATGTTATTGATGGTCAGCCAGCCCTTCCTGATCACCTGGAACACACAGACGGCGTGTGTGTCACTGCATAATGCTGTGATGAACACTTGTAAAACCACAAACATTTACAGTCAAACCAAACATTAATCAGACACCAGATGTACTTGTTTTACTAGTGTGTGCAGGAGACTGTAGTTCATTAATGTAAGTGAGGAGAGCAAAATAAAGTAAACTGAGAAAAAGTTCTAAATATATAGTTTTAATATCATCTCATGTTTATTAGGCTGCTGTCACTTTAAGAGCTGATGCACGGATTCATTATACAGTCACACATGCGTTTCTTTCTCAGCCGTTTACACACACTTCTGGTCTTTTTAACCTGCAAATGACTTTTGCTGAATTTTAAAAAATGTTTTCTTTGTCCAAATGCGATGAAACTTTGTACGGCTCTCAAACCTTTCTCAGAAAAAGTCATTTATATTGTTAGAATTGTGATTTGATGATATTTAGATATAGTGGAGCTTTTTAGCCATCTAGTGGCTAAAATTATCATTTTTTTTACTTTTAAAAGCAATATATAGGCAAAACTTTTACAATAAACTATGTAAAATTATATAAATTTAGAAATTTGTTTTTTTTATAAAGTAAATTTTACAAAAAAATATTTTAACATTTTTTTAAATTTATTTATGTAAATTTAAATTATATCATAAATCCTCCAAAAACTACACAAATGTTGAGTAAAAACATTAATAAACAGTAAAATTACAATTGTAAAACAACAAAAAAAAAAACTACTATTTATTCTGTTACAAAATGACATGTTATTGTCTGGAGACCCCAAAGATAACTAGTGTCACCCCAAATGAAGATCATCTTAAAACATAACCGACAGTATACGTGACTTGAGCCAGACCGATATTATCGGCCGATATTAGGCATTTTCCATAATATCGGTATCGGCAGTTATAATGGCCGATAAATGAATATTTGAAAAATAAAATGAAAACGGACGAAACACGCTTCAATCATCTCTCCTTGGCCTGTTATATTGAAAATGTATGTTTTACAATTTGCAGTATGATGTTATCTATTGCTAAATTATGGCTGATCATCCACAAAGCTAGCTAATGCCACTATCATCAGTGGAAGACCGCTAACGTTAACATTAATGAGCTTGGAAACCACAATGAACTTTTTCTGCCTAAATAAAGTAATGATTACTGCATTTATAACTAGCATATCTCTAGTTACAGTCCCTGCATTGTAAAATGTAAGTTATACTTGCGAGGAGCGAACATTTAGACATAGAGAAAAAGTATCAAACGTATCTTGTGCAGAAAAGTTAGCTTTTCTTTTACGCGTGTGTGAAATCCAACAATATTTAATAAAAAAAATAAAAAATATCGGCCGATATATCGGATTTTAAAACCCAAAAATATTTGTATCGGTATCGGCCTTCAAAATCCTTTATCGGTCGGGCTCTAATATTCACTAAGAACGGCTTTTTGACGTTATTTTGTGTGTATTTAATTGATTAAGTGCAATAAGAAGCGAATAGGAACTTTAGTTCTGAGAGATGAGCACGAAATCTGCAGGAATGAATAAAATGTGCAAAACACGTCGAAACTCAAACCGTCTCGAACAGAACAAAATACAATGAAAATAAGAATAGTCCTAAAAAATTTTTTTCTTTTCTACAGAAACACCAGACGTGTTCTCGACAGAGCAGAACAAGAATACTAGTTTAGACTAAAATCAAGAACACACACACACACACACTCCGGCTCGCTCATCCACGTTACGCTTGACTGACGTCTTTAGTGACACACACACACACACACACACACGGAAGTGTCTTACGCAACCGCTGACACAGATGTAGACGAGACATGATGTTAATCACACAATGACAGTGCTGACACACACACACACACACACACACACACTGTACTTACCATGATTTCATCCTGATGCGCCACAGTAAAACAAGAATAAGAACAACATGAGGAGAAGAGGATATATCATTGTGGAAACAACACTAGTGATGCAGTAACAAGATCTGAGACACACACACACACACACACACACACACACACTGATCTGAGACTCACACTGATCTGAGAGACACACATACATACACACACACACACACACACACACTGATCTGAGACTAACACTGATCTGAGAGACACACATACATACACACACACACACACTGATCTGAGACTCACACTGATCTGAGACTCACACTGATCTGAGACACACACTGATCTGAGACACACTGATTTGAGACGCATAAAATATGCAAATCAAGAAACACTGCAAAAAAAAAAATCTGTTTGCATTCCTCCTAAACAAAATTCAATTTAAGGCAATTTAAATCTGGTAGATTTTCAAACATCACACACACACACACACCTCTGGAGATCTGCTGAGGCTCGAGTCTCACAGCACATTAATGCTATTCAGTGGTGGAATGTAACGAAGTACAAATACTTCGTTACTTTACTTAAGTACATTTTTCACGTATCTTTACTTTACTTAAGTTGAATAAATAGTGCATACTTTTGACTTTTACTTCGTTACATTTTGCAGCAATTATTCTACTTTCTACTCCACTACATTTCTACAACTTCTGTTACTTTTTCATTACATTTCCTGATCAGTTTTTCCCCTGCCAAAACGTAAACGTTGCACGTTTGTCTCACCAGTGACGTTTGGTTGCCAGATACATCAACTAAATGCGTCTTGCACGCAGTGTGTTTATCGTGCAATTTATACGCGAAAATTTGTTTTTATGTGCATAGGAAACACACCGTGTGTAATAGGCCTATACGTTTGGTTAGGATTATGGCAAGCCAAGAGGTTCAGAATTACACCATAAATTAATCGCGTTTACTGCCAAACATAGTTATTAACATATAGTGGATAAGCAGGATGTGCATATTGCCTAATTGCAAACTTGTTTCAGAAATGGTGACAACAATTTTTTTCCATAATTATTGAACATCATTATAGGAGTATAAGGTGGAACGAGTTAGGATTAAATGTTTTATTAATCATTAGAAAAAAAATAGACATTAAGAGAATAAATTGTTATGCAAGTACTTTTACTTTTAATACTTAAAGTACATTTAAAATCTGGTACTTTTTACTTAAGTATGGTTGTCATTGTGTTACTTCTACTTTTACTAAAGTAAATATTTATCTGTTTATTTGTACTTTTACTTAACCCTTGTGCTGCATTCGATTTTTAACACCGTTGAGTGCATTAAGGACCAAAAATGGCCACATATTAAACATTGCCTAAAATATTATATATTATTATTATTTTCCACTTTTACCAAGTTAAATCTTTTAACCAGCATCAGTCCTCATCATAACTACCAAAAATGTATTCAATTTCAGGATTTTAACCCTTTAATTACCAGTTTTGTTTGCGAAACCATCGATTTGTATAAGAGGAAAAAACACAAAAATTCAATTATTTTCAATAAACTAAATGCAAAGAGAAAACTTTAGATTTGGATTATCACAGTCCCACTTTGCAAAAAATCCCACTTAGCGCGTTAGAGACCAAAAATGGCCACCTATTAAACATTGCCTATTGCCTAAAATAAGGTGCATTTCCACCCATAGGGAATAAATATGTAGTGACGTCATCTGGTGGAATACACTATATAATGCAAATATAATGCTTTTGCTTCAAAATGAAAGGATGTTTGTGCAAAAATCATGTTTCATGTATTACTGACAGCCTCAGATTTAAACAACGTTTTAATGGGTTTCAATGGGCCATTTTTGGTCTTTATGGTGCTGAGTGTTACTATTTGATCTACACAGTGTGTGTTATACATATTTTGCAAAATGGGATCACATTTTTTACATGTATCCAAAAAGTCACAATTTTGCCAAATTTCATACCATTTGCATTAAAACAGCCAAAATGGTCAAAGAAATTAAACTGCAAAAGACCAAAAATGTCCCTAATGCAGCATAAGGGTTAAGTACTGAGATTCAGTACTTCCTCCACCACTGATGCTATAATTATGATTATGATTATGATTATGCCGGTCTCTCTGTAGAGGAGAAACACTGAAGAACATGCAGCGGTGAATGAATGCGTCTATGAGCAGAACAGGACACACACACTCTCTCTCTCTCTCTCTCTCTCTCTCTCTCTCACACACACACACACGCTCTCTCTCTCACAGACAGACAGACACACACACATTCTGTCTCTCTCTCACACACACACATGCTGTCACTTGCTGCCCTTAACAACTGATTTGAGTGAAGCAGAACTGCACCTACATCAGTGTATAAGCGTGTGGAAGACCCTCATAAAGCAGCTCTACGACACACACACTGTTCTGGGATCAGCTCAGCCTCCATCAACAGCATTCAGGGGTTATTGTGTGAACGTTGCTCTTCATAGGAGTTCAGTTACGCTCAGGAAGTGATTTATCACACAAGTATCAAGTGAACATGTAAAATGTTGAAGTCTTGAGGACATACTTCCAAAACACTGAGTGTTAATGTTTATTCTGCTGAGTTTGAGATGCATAAAGTTTAAATGCTGATGATGGAGCTGAACTTGAACTTAACGTCTGATCTGAGACCAGTTCTCTCTATGAAAGCTAGTATTTGAACTGAGAGAAGCATGAGAACAAACCTGGCCCTGGATCAGTTGATAAGGGCGTGAAGATAAAGAATAAGAAACATAGATGAAGAACAGAGAAACACACACTGGACACACACATCAAATGAGCATGATTAACATTTAACACACAACATGCCTCTCAATATGAGGCTGTGTTATAAACCCTTCACCTGATTACCCGCCGCTTTCTTCTTGCTCGCCTGACTGCTTCTCTGCTGAGCACTAAACAGAACACAATAAACTAAATATATATATTTATATTTATATATAAACTGACGTTCATGTTTTAAAAAGAAGTCTCTTCTGCTCACCAAGGCTGTATTTATTTGATTGAAACTACAAAACAAACAGTAATTAGAAATATTATTACATTTATATATATATATATATATATATATATATATATGAAGAGTTCAGATGCAAAAACCTCTAAGTGCCATTTGAAATTTTCTTCTAGAATGATCATTTTTATCAAGCTCAGTAATTTCACTTAAATGGCAATGAAGATTACCTATTAATTGTCATTTAAGTGAAATTACTGAACTTAAATATACAAGCTTGATAAAAATGATCATTCTAGAAGAAAATTTCAAATGGCATTTAGAGGCTTTTGCATCTGAACTCTTCATATATATATATATATATATATATATATATATATATATATATATTTAAAACATCGGTTCTATGTGAATATATTGTAAAATATAATTTATAATAATATATGTTTCTTGAGCATCAGATCCTCATATTAGAGTGATTTCTGAAGGATCATGTGACACTAAAGACTGGAGTAATGATGCTGAGAAAATTCACAGGAATAAATTATATTTTTAAATATTTTCCAATAGAAATGATTATATTAAATTGTAATAATATGTCACATTATTATTTTAATCAAATAAATGCAGCCTTGGTGAGCGGAAGAGACTTCTTTTAAAAACATTAAATATCTTACTGATCCCAAACTTTTGAACCGCAGTGTGTGTGTATATATGTGTGTATGTATATGTGTATGTGTGTGTATATATATATATATATATATATATGAAGAGTTCAGATGCAAAAGCCTCTAAGTGCCATTTGAAATTTTCTTCTAAAATTATCATTTTTATCAAACTTGTATATTTAAGTTCAGTGATTTCACTTAAATGGCAATGATAATTACCTATTAATTGTTATTTAAGTAAAATTACTGAACTTAAATATACAAGTTTCATAAAAATCATCATTAAAGAAGAAAATTTTAAATGGCATTTAGAGGCTTTTGCATCTGAACTCTTCATATATATATATATATTAATGTCTGTATTTTCTATGATACTGGTTAAATAATGTGGGTCATCTGACGCTAAAGATCGAAGAAACGTGACTCACTTGGCAAACCCGATGAAATCTTCATGGTTGGTGTTCATGTACGCCAGCTCGATGTCAATCAACAGCAGCACCTGACAAACAATAGAAAGCTTATTTTATTTCATTTGGTAATACTGTTTCGATTTTTAATTCACATTTTTTGGGAGAATTTTTTATTTTATTTACCTTTCAATTACTAAATTTGATCTATAAATAAATAAAAAGTAATTTAAGCACATATTCCTCACATTCTTTCAAGTTAAATTCAAAATAACTCATAATTTCATGCATAGCCCTTTTAGTTCAGCACTAAATATCTAACATTGGAGTGTTTGTCGATCTCTGGTGGGAAAATAATAATAATATAACATGATATTTCATGACTCTTGCCACTAGATGGCCTTATAGCTCAAGCTGTTCCGCTGGGTCCTAAAGTCAGTGCACTTCAGTGTGCATTCAGACACACATGTGGATTATAAAATCTTTTTTTTGGTAAAGTTTTAGCATTTTTAGTTTGAATTTTGAGTATTTTTAGGATTGTCTAGACTCTATGTGTCCTGAAACATTCCTCACATTGCATACATTTCTAAGGGGTCAAATTGACCCGAGAGGGAAGGATGTGTTACATTTTTGTGTATTCATGGTTCATGTGCGATAAAAGTCATGAGGTCTTGGACTCCTCAGATGAACACTCAATTTAAAAAAAAAAAAAGAAATTCCCGGGTCAAAATGACCCGAAGGAAGGATGAGGGTTAAAAACGTTCCGATCTCGTGGCGGATCGGGCCTCACCTGATCTTTAGTGCGGCTCTCGCGGTCTCGGATGTGCTGAGTGACGATCCGCTCCATCTCCTCTCTCAGCATGGGATACTGGGCCAACTGTGACACAATCACACGCGTTTGTGATGCCAATAAACCATACGACTAACACACTGAGTCTGCAACAGGTGATCACTACACCCTCTACTGATGAAAATTATGAAACCATTATTGAGAGAAAACCTGTTGCAAAGTCTGTAAAATCACAGTATCAACATAAAAAACACTATAGGCTACTGTATACATGCATGTCAATCATGTTCGTTGCACAGACAGGGCCTAAAACTAACTTTTTGCCACACATACCAATGGCCGGGAAAAATTTAATAAATTCAAATTCAAAATAATGAAGTTTATATCATTACTGACAGGCGGCATAAGGAATATTAGGCTACTGTCACTTTAAGAGCAAATGCACTGATACTGACACACATGTGTTTACTTTCTCTTTCTATGTTTACAAGGATTGACACCGCTTCATATACTGGTATTTGGCGCTTGCCGAGTGTTAATTTTTGGCCCTGTGCACAAACATACAGCATGTCACATGACTCTAAAGTTCAATGCATTAAAATAGATAGTTATGAGCCTCTTGGCTTTGCAATGTCCTGTAATCTAACTAGGGATGCACTGATAGGAAATTTTTGGCCGATACCGGTAATTATTTTTATTTGAAAGCCGATAACCGATATATCGGCCGATAAATCTTAATTTTTATATATTTTTTGAGAGCCTGATTACAAAAACAAAAGTCTCACCATTAAAAGTCATATAATGCCGATATGACAGACTAAAATACTAAACTGTAAATTCCTTTTTTTTAAGTGATTTTAATCGTATTTCAAGCAATTTAGCTGAAGGAATAATACATTATTTATTGGCTTTAACACATCGGCCAAATTTTCTTATCAGGCCGATAACGATAACATTAAAAAGGAACATATATCGGCCGATACTGATATGGTGGCCGATATATTATGCATCCCCGACATTTAGCCAAATACCAAGAGTTGTGCACATGAATCATGATGATTAATCATTCACGATACGACCGACCGGTAATACTGATTTGATTTTGAATACTGCAATTTTTGCAACATAAATGTTAACCGAATTGTCAGGATCTGTGTGACTTGCTGATGCATTGGAATTTGAAGCCAGTGTAGAATTAAATAAATCAACCCACACACGCAAGCATCACAAAAACTACACCAGCAGAGTGTTTTGGTTCGCACAGGGATGCAGTGATGGGCGTCTAGCAGTGATCAGGGTTCTGTAGAAATGAGTGTTTCTAGAGCGAACAGGCATAACAAACGAGCTCAGAGATGAAGATTACTATGAGAACGAGAGGAGAAGACGCGAGTCCATGTGTGGATTCACACTGATGTTCCTTCAACCTTCATACTATTAAGTTATGAACCCATTTAATGTGAGTAAAACACATCGTCTGGCATTATTACGTCCTTCCAAACACATATGCTGCTCTTTTTAACACAATTTCTGAACAATCTTTCTCTTACAACCAGTTATACGAGTGTCAAGCTACAAAAAAACACTGAATTATTGTATTTTCTAAATTATTATTAGAGCCCGACCGATAAAGGATTTTGAAGGCCGATACCGATACAAGTATTTTTGGGTTTTAAAATCCGATATTCCGATATATCGGCCGATATTTTATTTATTTTTATTTTTTTAACTGGACAGTCACAAACTGATAGTCACAAATTTTGTCCTGCTTATTTGAGTTAAGAGAACTGATGTGGATGTTCTTTTAATTGTTATTCAATCAATGTATGTATCGTGACCAACTTAACGAGTGTTGCCAACAGGAACGGTGTAGAGCACCCTCTGGTGGACAAACTACACAGCTCCAATTCATGGTTCAAGTGTGTTTTGTCTGTTTTTATTTTATTTTTGAAATATTAATTTATCGGCCATTATAACTGCCGATACCGATAGTTTGGAAAATGCCTAATATCGGCCGATAATATCGGTCTGCCGATATATCGGTCTGGCTCTAATTATTATTAATCGTGTTGGCTCTTCACTTTCATGTCTTAGTGATACTAACTGATGTGATCATAATTATATAATACTTAAGTTGGGTTTTGAGTTCATTTTGGAGCTTGAAGATTCTTTAAAAAATCTCATATTGCGCTTTAAAAAAAACAACAACATATGAATTCGGAAGGTGTGCAAATAATGGCAGTTTTCTTTTTTTGTATGAGCCAAATATGTATTTTTTTCTTCTTTCAGACAAAACTCAAAACATACAGTCCAAATCCACAGAAGCAAAGTGTTTTTGAGGGATACGTATGATGAAATGGTATGAGAGAGAGAGAGAGAAAGAGAGAGAGAGAGATGTATGACTGTTAGTCTGCTGGTGTAAGAAGACCTTCCAGCTCGAGCATCAGTTCTTATACGCAGGATTTCTCACGCTAGAACTAAAACACACACACATCCGACAGAAAAACACACTGAAAAACCAACGGGCCATACGAGGGAGCATGCGTTATTAATACAAGAACTGATTTGGATAAAATGTCTACGGCTACTGTTGTGTGAAAAACGACACAAATACTTAGTAAATTAAATTGACACAGACAAAATAAACCAGGATGAAATCTGAGAGGTAAGGATAGACCGATCGTTGCTGGACTAATCCTAATAAATCTGATCTACGCTCAATTTGAAAACAGCATATGTTGATTTTGATTTATGTGTGCACTAAAAAATACTGGGTTGTCGTTTGGGTGAAATATAGACAAACCCGAACGTTAGTTTATATTTAACTCAACACTTGGGTTTGTCCATATTTGACTCAAACACGGGTTAAAACAACCCAGGTTTTTTAGAGTGTAGTGTAGTATTTATTAACATCTTGTTATATGCAGTTTTTATTAAAATTTTACAGCTTGTCATTTTTGTTTAGAGGAAATCCCAGAAGATTCAAAATTTGCCATTCAAATTTTTGTCTATTTAATATAATGTATTTAATATAATCTATAATATTAATAAAACAGTACGAGTGGCCAAAAGTGACGTCCGGGGGGCATATTTGTTTTTAATGAACCTAAAAATTGAATTGAACCCAATTCATTTTTTGGTGACACTTTATTTTAAAGGGTTAGTTCACCCAAAAATAAAAATTAAGTCATTAATTACTCACCCCCATGCTGTACCAACCCCGTAAGACCTTCGTTCGTCTTCGGAACACAAAGGAAGATATTTTTGATTAAATTTGAGAGCTGTATAACTACCACATTGGCTCCTAAGGGACTGCCTCTTGACGGCCCAAAAAGTCAATGAAGAAAATGTTTAAATATCCCAAGTGACTACCGTGGCTCAACTATATGTTTATCAAGCGACGCGAATACTTTTTGTGCGAAAAAACAAACAAAAATAACGAGTTTATTCGACTATTTTTTTCTTCCTTGTAGGCCAGAACGAGACTTCCTTATAGATTTCCACGACGCATGCGCGAGATTTGCGATCTGCGTACACAGCTTACACTACTTCAGATCGCAATTCTCGCGCATGCGTCGTGGAAATCTATAAGGAAGTCTCGTTCTGGCCTACAAGGAAGAAAAAAATAGTCGAATAAACTCGTTATTTTTGTTTGTTTTTTCGCACAAAAAGTATTCGCGTCGCTTGATAAACATATAGTTGAGCCACGGTAGTCACTTGGGATATTTAAACATTTTCTTCATTGACTTTTTGGGCCGTCAAGAGGCAGTCCCTTAGGAGCCAATGTGGTAGTTATACAGATCTCAAATTTAATCAAAAATATCTTCATTTGTGTTCCGAAGACGAACGAAGGTCTTACGGGGTTGGTACAGCATGGGGGTGAGTAATTAATGACTTAATTTTCATTTTTGGGTGAACTAACCCTTTAAGGACACGTTAGTACATGTACACTATAATAATAACAACAGTAAATTATGCATAATTACGAGCAGTGTTGGGTGTAACTAATTACTAATTACTACATCCCTTGAAAATGTGAAGTAAGGGATTACTCTTCATTTATCTGTAATTTAATTACAGTTACTTCTGATGTAATTGAGGAAAATACTGTGTATGGATCAATCCAATCTCACAGCGATTCATATGCATTTCATGAGGCGTCTAAATATTACGACCGCACTCGTACAAATTCGTATGAATTATTGTAAAATATGTATGAAAAAAGTGTGAAATGTAATGAGATCAGACATTAAACAATAGTGGGTTTAGCATCAAAATATATTGTCTGATGTTAAAAAGTATGTTTTTATAATGTAACCTTCTCCACCTTGGTCAGTTTAAGGATAATTCATGCAGTTTTATAGTGTTTATTTGAAAGAATTAAAACAGATTCATGTCTATCCTTGTATTATTCAGCTGGTTGAGATTGATATGGGATTTTGAAAGTAATTAGTAATTAAAAGTAATTAAATACTTTTTAGAGAGAGAGTAATTCGTACAGTAATCTAATTACATTGTTGAAGAGGTAATTAGTAACTAGTAATTAATTACTTTTTTAGAGTAACTTACCCAACACTGATTACAAGTAACTTATCCTAAACCAAACCAAAGAAAGAGCATACTTCATTAATATTGCTACTATGTTACTATGTCACCTTAAAATAAAGTGTCACGTTATTAAAATATTTTAAATAAAATTATTTATCTGACACAATTACTTGTGAAACTACAGCTACGGGTTTTATTTTACCATGCAAAAAAACAAATAAAAGCTGACACAGCATAATCAGTTATTCATATTTCACAGGTTCTTGTTTTTGCATTTGTTTTTTTCCACAACTTACAGTATCATGTTTCATTGTGTTATTATCACAAACAAAACAATCCACTCCAAGCATAACTACGCAATATGCTTACAAAGGGTGAAGATGTACATTTTCTTCGGCTGGGCATCACTTCTGGCCACTTCTATATGCAATTTTTTCCATATTTAGGGCTGTCAAATGATTAATCGCGATTAATCGCATACAAAATAAAAGTTTGTGTTTACATAATATATGTGGGTGCACTGTGTATAATTATTTTGTATATATATTAGGGCTGTGCAAAAATTAATTGCGATTAATCGCATCCAAAATAAAAGTCTGTGTTTACATAATATATTTGTGTGTGCTGTATATAATTATTTTGCATATATAATTACCTATGCATGCATGTATTATTTAAAAATTATTTGCGCTTAAATTCTGTATATATATATAAATACATAATCTATATTTTATAAATATAAATATTTTATATATGAATAACACATTTTCTTAAATATATACATGCATGTGTGTGTATTTATATATACAAAATAATTATATACAGCACACACAAATATATTATGTAAACACAGACTTTTATTTTGGATGCGATTAATCGCAACTAATTTTTGCACAGCCCTAATATATATATATATAAATACACACACATGCATGTATATTTAAGAAAAAAATACTATTTATATATAAAATATAGTATAAATCTATATACAGTGTATACATGAAAATATTTCTTAAATATATACAAGCGTGTGTGTATTTATATATATAAAATAATTATATACAGTGCACCCACATATATTATGTAAACACAAACTTTTATTTTGTATGCGATTAATCGCGATTAATCATTTGACAGCCCCCGATAGACACCCGATGTTATTGTTAACTAAATCATTCCAGTTCTGTCATGATTCACACACTTAAAGAGGTTTGGAACGGCATTAGTGTGAGTAAACGATGACAACAAACTCATTATATTTATAATATTTCCACCTAGAATAAACAAAACTACATTCACAGCTACGACTTTTGCCATTGCGTCCAGCCATCGGTCTATCCGTACGTTTAAGATAGACGTGGACGAACGGAGCTTCGTTCCTCTTTACCTTCTCACTACATTTGTGAATGGTGGAGGAGAGCTCGCTCACAACCATATCTATACATTTGAGGCACGGCCCGTTTAGCTTTTGGATCTGCTTTTTCACTATGGCCTCAAAGGCCAGGTCAGGGGTGAACAGGCCCGTCCTGCAGAGGAAGAGTCATGGAGAGAGAGGAGAAGAGGTGGAGGGATGACAGATAGACAGGGTTGGAGGGCAGATAGATAGACAGCACAGAGGAAAGAGAAGTGAGACATTTGGTTTCTCCTCAAGCCATTCGACAGCGAGCCGCAGAGAAGTCGACCCGTGGCCGAGACCCAAGCCTTCAGAAAGCAGATGCGCAGACCAAAGGCAGTCCGAGAGCTGTCGTTAACGATCGAGCATCAATTATATATATTATACTGGTGAAAATTTGGTACATATTCATATTCAAATAGACTCATATAGACCTTTATTTGTTATAATTGTGATGATTATGTTTTACAGCTTGTGAAAACGTTTTCACAATTTGAGGTTCTGACGATTGTTTACAGTTGTAACGGTTGCTGATTTATAGAAATAGAAGAGTATGATTAAATTATATTATATATAATATAACAGTAATAAATGTGAACATTATAAGTTTAATATTACATTCATATTTGTTGCATTTAGTGTAACGCACTGTAAAAATGCTTTTTAAAGATTTACAATTAAAATCTTTAAAAAAAAAAATTTACAATAAAAAAATTTTAGCGTTAGAATTAGAAATAGTTTCCTGCATTAATTTCTTTTTTTTGTGTGTGTTCATTAAATTTACATGAAAGTACTGTATGTAACGCACTGTAAAAAATATTTTGTTATATATTAGGGATGGGCAACGATTAATCGCGATTAATCGCATCCAAAATAAAAGTTTGTGTTATAATATTAATTATGTATAAATATATATATGTTTCTTAAATATATACATGCATGTGTGTGTAGTGTGTATAATTAATTTGTATATATAAATACCCACACATGTATGTGTATATTTAAGAAAAATGTGCTATTAATATATCAAATATTTATATTTTATATAATATTAATTATGTATAAATATATATAAAGTATACATGCAAATATTTCTTAAATATATACATGCATGTGTGTGTATTTATATATACAAAGTAATTATACACACTACACACACATATATTATGTAAACATAAACTTTTATTTCGGATGCGATTAATCGCGATTAATCGTTGCCCATCCCTATTATATATACAAATCTATAATTATAAGTATGTTTTACAATGAAACACTCTTTCAGTCTTTCTTGTTTATTTCAATGTTGCATTTTTTGTTTTCTTGCATTTACATCTTTAAATCTTTCGGTTAGTATTTGCGGTATATTTGTAACATTCAGTTCATCTTTTAAATTTGTAACTCTTTATTTGTGGCATTTCCTTTCCGTTACTATGGTTTCTAGAATGTTCTCATTTGTTGTCATAGCGACTCATTGTTTGATTGAATTGATACACCTGTTGCTTGTTCAGCCCTTTAGTTGCTCTCAAAAATACTCTTTCTGTAACAATATTATATATTGCAAGAATCATTTCTTTTGATGTTTCTTTTGAAGTTGTGAAGAGAACAGAACACACTGTAAACATTATAGTGTAAATCAGAGAGATATTGGAGTACATTTTACAAGGAAATACTATTTCAGTCTATCTACGTCAAAATGTCGTGTTTATTTCAGTGTTACTTGGAGTTTCCTTGCAATGTTTTAAAGTAAATCCAACTCAATCTATGATGGCATTTGTATTTGTGTACCTTCTATATAGTATTTACAGTGCCTGAGTCTTTTTAGAGCTGCTTTATTTACAGCAGAATTTGAATTGGTCTCATATTTGATACTCATATAATATTTGAAACAATTTCTATTGTATAAATCACTACAGTATATATATAAACGATAATTGACTTGGTGTCCTCGAGAAGCTTCTGTCATGGTTTTTCTGCACTGGATTTATTGATCAATATCTCTTGACTGCCGTTAGCCACGTCTCTGCCTTCCTCAAAGCTTCTGTCTCGAATAAACAGAGTGTTTGGACGCTGAGGTCTGCTAGATGAGCTCATGAAGAACAATGTTAGCTTGGGGTTTTGGATCATGAAATATCATAATTTAACGGCAAAAATAGGGCTGCACAATATATCGAAATTATGGAAAATATCACCAATGCATATCAGTTCATGTTGATGCAGATAGTACTGGGTTCGGCCGGTCAAGATGGCATGAAATGGTTGGTCCGTTTTGGTGGTAACCAACGGAGCTGCACGATCAAGCGTTGAAAGATCACAATCTCCATTCAAACACCCACATGATCTTATTCCTAATTGTCAATGATTCGTCTATTAATACTTTGATCACAGTGAACATTCAAATCTGCATTCTGACCCAGAGAAAGCAGTTGTCATCATGCATAGATATGAATTTCAATCACACAGAATCATTATTTTTGTGTTACAAATATTCAAATGATCACAGAAGTTCTGGGATAAAAGTTTATAGTTCGGATATTAACACTGATGTCTACGGTAGCAATGAAAATAGAGTTAACCAATAATCGTGACACCAGTAGGTGGCGACAAGTGGCTGTTAAAAAATGTTTGTCACTGAATCATTTATTCAAGAGATTCATTCAAAAACAAGAATTCATCCAGTAATGAAAGAAGTGAAGTCTTTATGAGTGAGTCATTGAATCATTCACTCAAGAATTAATTCAAATTAATTAAATGTATTTTTTGCAGTAATTAACATTTTGTTAGAAACTCTAATAAATGACGTTATGTTATTTAGTTATCTATTCAGAATCATATGGAAGCTTGTTTCCACCACCAAGATAATTGCGACTTTTTATCTCACAATTGCGAGTTTATATCTATATAGGCTAAATACAAGAGATATTAAGTCAGCATTGCAAGATATAAAGTCATAATTCTGCCTTTTTTTAAACTCGCAATTGCGAGTTTATATCTCGCAATTATGACATCTTTTCTCTTAGAGTTATAAAGTTTATAACTTGTGAGTTATAAAGTCCAATTCTAAGGAAAAAATTACTGACTTTTTTTCACAATTATGACTTTATAACACGCAATTGCAACTTTATATCATGCATTTCTGAGATAAAAAGTCAGAATTGTGAGATATAAAGTCGCAATTACCTTTTTATTTTTTATTCGACTATAGCGGAAACAAGTTTCCATAAAATCGTGATCTCTATTTTAAACCAAAAAAAAAAATTGGTTCTCAATTTATCCAGATTAGTGCAGCTCCAGTTTTTGTTTTTAAATGTTTAAATTTAAATATGTTTTAATAAATCAAATATCCCATTCAACAAGCAAACACATTCTTCTTTAATATCGTTCACTTTAATATCACTTAACCCTTACGTTTAACGAAATTATCGTAACAAATAATTTATCCAAAATCGTGCAGCTCCAGTTTGTTATATAATTTTCCGTTTCTCAGTTATAAATCAAATATCACATTTAACAAGCCTTGGATATCGTGCAGCCCTAGTAAAAACGCTGTTAATTCTTTCCGAAATGATCGTAATCAAAGGAGGTTGAAACCTCAGCGTCCACGGCTCTCTGTACACAAAGCCATTCCACCCAGAACCTCTGTCCAAAGCTCAGGCACACGAACATACACGACGATAAACACCCACAATCCCCCTGGGGGGGTCACAGGTGGATCACAGCAATAGTTTGGGTTGATGGGAGACACGGAAAAACCCTCCACCAGGCCTTTACCTTCTTAGTACACTGCCTAACGGTATTGACTAGCTCAGAAATGACCATGTCCACACATTTCTGGCACGGCTCTTTAGTCTTCATGATCTGCCTTTTCACAATGGTCTCAAAGGCCATGTCCGGTGTGAAGAGCCCAGTTCTGTCCGACCAGAGAGAACGGACAGGCCCGGGAAAAGAACGACAGAGGAGAGAAAGAAAAGGAAAAATTGGGTGGAAAGAAGAGCGTTAATCCAACAAACTCCCTCCCCAGCCCATAATCATGAATGAAGAACTGAAATAATGGCTCGAAACTGGAGCTTATGCCGACGCTCAATTGTTAAAACTGTGGCTGCAATTCACTTAACGGCCACCGGTGTCGCTAGCAACAAGAGTTTCTCAATTCTACATAGAGCACCTTCGAATATTAAATCTCTGAAATATGACTTATATGGGAAAACACAACTAAAACTAAAACATTATTTAGATATATAGACAATAAAACTTTACAACGCGGTTCCGTGTGTTAACGAAGAACTCCGGCACAAAATAAATCTTTGGTCTAATAAAACATTGGTACCTGAGATTTGTAGAACGGTTGACTAGGTACCAATGTTTTATTAGACCAAAGGTTCATTTTGCTCCGGAGTTGTCCTTAAAGGGTTAGTTCACCCAAAAATGAAAATTCTGTCAGTATTTACTCACCCTCATGTTGTTCAACCCCGTAAGACCTTCGTTCATCTTCACAACACAAATTAAGATATTTAAGATATTAAGATCGCTCCTGCATACTAGTCCATAGGCTTCTTGAGGGACTGGCTCTTGCTGTCCCCGAAAAGTCATTAAAGACATCGTTAAAATAGTCCAAGTGACTACAGCGGCTCAATCTTAACTTTATCAAACGACGAGAACACTTTTGTGCGCAAAAAAACAACAAAAATAACGACTTTATTTCAACTATTCACTTCCTTCTCCATGAGCCTGTAGTCAGTTAGCGTAGTGTGATTGCGTAAAGCTACGTCACACGTAGGCTCACTATTGGCCGACGCTGGTCATGTGTGTGTGATGCGTGTGACGTACAATAACAGAACTTACGCTATTAAACTAGTAACCTGACTCGTGCAGAGGGAAAAATAAACCAATAGTTGAAATAAAGTCGTTATTTTTGTTGTTTTTTTTGCGCACAAAAGTGTTCTCGTCGTTTGATAAACTTAAGATTGAGCCGCTGTAGTCACTTGGACTATTTTAACGATGTCTTTAATGACTTTTCGGGGACAGCAAGAGCCAGTCCCTCAAGAAGCCTATGGACTGTATGCAGGAGTGATCTTAATATCTTAAATATCTTAATTTGTGTTGCGAAGATGAACGAAGGTCTTACGGGGTTGAACAACATGAGGGAGAGTAAATACTGACAGAATTTTCATTTTTGGGTGAACTAACCCTTTAACACTAGACTCTAGCATTAACACAAAACTGTGCGTATGTTCATATAACAGCAATGTAAAGAACTATTTTCAGTGTCGACCCTCTCGTCTGACGCGACCCGTGAGACACAAACTCGTAATAAAGATTGTTGGACAAAAGGAGGATCATAAATAAAAAGTGGCAATAATAAAGCCTCACGTGTGTTATTGAAGCCCAAAGGTCACGTGTTTTCTACTCCTAAAGACGAGACTCAACAGACGGAGGTTCGTTCGAGAGGCGAGGAGAGACACATACAGACAAGACGTGTTTCCATTACACATTTGCGCAAAACTTTTGTGTGATAAAAAACTATTGACGTTTCCATAAACCGATGTTAAGCGACTGAAACGTCATTGTTTTCTCTCGCGATAAGTCTTTACGTATTTAAATTGACATCGCAATAGCCATGATATTTTAATCGTAGGAGCCGTAGGGGTTTTATCCACGCATTAACAGCGTTCCTCCCTCATATCTGCTTCAAGATCTTCATAAATTGTGGCATTTCTTTGTGGTTTAGAATCCAGTCTTTTATGAGTTTAATGAAGAACTCGCTCTCGTCTTCTGTCCAAACACCCCACGTCATGTTTAAAGAAGAGTCGACCGGTACGTACGTCATCTATAAATGCAAAAAAACGAAATAGTGATTTTTCGAATTGCCTGAAAAAACGCCTCATGCGGAAGTAAAAACTTTTTTACGATGCATATTTTAAAAATCTTTTAAAAAAGTTTTTGCAAAATCTACGTGTTTCCATTGAGCGTTTTATCAATTCGCAATTTCAATTTGCGCAATTGGAAGGGTAATGGAAACGTGGCTACTGTCACAAATCGAATCACAAAACCCTCATCCTGGGTCTCTGATTGGATGACACTGAAGTCAGAGATGTTTGTGATTGGATGTGTGACCCCAGGTTGACCCATGGTTTGACCACAGGTGTGACCTCAGGTTTGACCACAGGTGTGACCTCAGGTTTGACCACAGATGTGACCACAGGTTGACCCATGGTTTGACCCCAGGTGTGACACCAGGTTTGACCACAGGTGTAACCCCAGGTTTGAGCCATAGTTTGACCACAGGTGTGACCCAAGGCTGACCCATGTTTTGACCCCAGGTTGACCCATGGTTTGACCCCAGGTGTGACACCAGGTTTGACCACAGGTGTAACCCCAGGTTGACCCATGGTTTGACCACAGGTGTGACCCCAGGTTGACCCATGGTTTGACCCCATGTTGACCACAGGTGTGACCCCAGGTTGAACCATGGTTTGACCACAGGTGTGACCCCAGGTTTGAGCACAGGTGTGACCCCAGGTTTGACCACAGGTGTGACCCCTAGGTTTGACCACAGGTGTGAGCCCAGGTTGAACCATGGTTTGACCACAGGTGTGACCCCTAGGTTTGACCACAGGTGTGAGCCCTAGGTTTGACCACAGGTGTGAGCCCAGGTTGAACCATGGTTTGACCACAGGTGTGACCCCAGGTTTGACCACAGATGTGACCCCAGGTTGACCCATGGTTTGACCCCATGTTGACCACAGGTGTGACCCCAGGTTGAACCATGGTTTGACCACAGGTGTGACCACAGGTGTGACCCCCAGGTTTGACCACAGGTGTGAGCCCAGGTTGACCCATGGTTTGACCCCAGGTGTGACCCCAAGTTGACCACAGGTGTGACCCCAGGTTGACCCATGGTTTGACCACAGGTGTGACCCCAGGTTTGACCACAGGTGTGACCCCCAGGTTTGACCACAGGTGTGAGCCCAGGTTGACCCATGGTTTGACCACAGGTGTGACCCCAAGTTGACCACAGGTGTGACCCCAGGTTGACCCATGGTTTGACCACAGGTGTGACCCCAGGTTTGACCCCAGGCTTGACCCCAGGTTTGACCCCAGGTGGCACACACGAGCGGGACAGAGATATAAACACACGTGCCTGATGCCGTGGATGTTCTTGATGGCGTAGCTGATCTCCTTGCGCAGCTCCTTCTCATCAAACTCCATCTGAGGACAGAGATCATGTGACTGAGTTACACATCAGCACGGATTACAGGTGACAGTTTACTATGAACCTGCATTTAAAATTGTGACTGTGTGTGAGTGAGTGAGTTTGTGTGTGAGAGAGAGAGAGAGAGAGAGAGAGAGTGAGTGTGTGTTTGTGTGTGTTTCCAGGCAAAGGAAAGTGGAATATTTTACTCTTAAAGGGCCGGAGGGAGACACAATCCTGCACCGTAACTCACGACTGACAGAGTCTTAAGAGTTTAAAGAGTTTTGTAGTCATTTTAGCTGCAAAAAATTCCCGCAAAAGACGTTCAACACTATCAGTCAAACGATTTATTCTGGTAAGAAGTGTCTTCTGCTTATTTATTTGATCAAAAATACAGTAAAAACACTGAAATACTATTACAACTTAAAGGAAAGATTTCTTATTATCAATGTTGAGAAGTTTTGGCCTACATGCGCCGTTACTGCTCACACACACACACACACACACACCTTCACCAGCTCGAAGGGGAAGCGCTCGTGGAAGATGCGATTGATGCGGGCTCCTCCGGAGAGCTCATACGTGTCTATCTGATCTCCAGATCCCTCTATACGCTTCTCAAAGTCCACCGAGAACTGCTGCACCATCCTGAAACACACACACACACACACACACACTGGAGATCCAGCATCTGCATTTTCATTTATTCATTTAGCAGATGATTTAATCTAAAGCAGTGGTTAGATTGGCGTCTCCCTCTCTCTCAGACTCAGAGCTCTGCTACCGTGGACGGGTGACACTCGAAAACTAGAATATCTGTAATCCATAATCATCACAATTATAACAAATAAAGGCTTGAAATATCAAACTTTGCATGTAATGAGACTGAACTTTTGCAGCATATTCTCATTTTCCCAGCGTCACCTGTGGTTACGGTATTTCACCTGCTGGAAATGCATGCTGGGTTTTGTTGTTATTTTAAGGTAGGGTTGAATTAAATGTGAGACTGACTGCAACAGGGCCTTGGTCTTGCGGGACGGGTCGTCCGGACGGAAGTTCTTGTATTCGTCCACTTCTTTCTCGATGGACAGCACCTGGCTCTGCAGTTTGGCACGCAGCGCCGGGAGCGTGTCGCGGATGTGATTGGTCAGTTGCTGCGGAAGAACGACAGAGAGTTGAAGGTTTTAGGAAGGAATTTTGGGAACTTTTCAGTGTGTTACGGTGATGCACAACTCAACGGAGCATAAATAGCAAACATAAGTTCACAATAAAACGAAATAAAGTCACAATACAACAAAATAAAGTTCACAACACAACGAAAATAAAGCCACAACATAATTAAATAAAGCCACAACATGCATGATAAAGCCGCAACACAACGAAATAAAGCCACAACAAAATAAAGCCAACACACATAATGAAAACAACAACACAACAAAATTAAGCCACAAAACACATAATAAAGCCACAACACAACAAAATAAAGCAATTAAGCCACAAAACACATAATAAAGCCACAGGACAACAAAATAAAGTTCACAACACAACGAAATAAAGCCACAACACATAATTAAGACACAGTACAACAAAATTAAGCCACAAAACGCATAATAAAGCCACAATACAACAAAATTAAGCCACAACACATAATTAAGACACAGTACAACAAAATTAAGCCACAAAACGCATAATAAAGCCAAAACACAATGAAATGAAACCACAACACAGCGAAATAAAGCCACAACAAAATAAAGTCACCCCACAACAAAATAAATCCACAACACAGCGAAAATAAAGCCACAACACAACAAAATGAAGCCACAATACAACAAAATTAAGCCATAACACACACAATAAAGCCAAAACACAATGAAATAAAGCCACAACACAGCGAAATAAAGCCACAATAAAATAAAGTCACCCCACAACAAAATACTGTAAATCCACAACACAGCGAAATAAAGCCACAACACAACAAAATGAAGTCACAATACAACAAAATTAAGCCATAACACACACAATAAAGCCAAAACACAATTAAATTAAGCCACAACACAACAAAATAAAGCCACAACACAGCGAAATAAAGCCACAACAAAATAAAGTCACCCCACAACAAAATAAATCCACAACACAGCGAAAATAAAGCCACAACACAACAAAATTAAGTCACAATACAACAAAATTAAGCCATAACACACATAATAAAGCCACAACACAACTAAATTAAGCCACAACAGAACAAAATAAAGCCACAACACACACAATAAAGCCAAAACACAACTAAATTAAGCCACAACAGAACAAAATAAAGCCACAATACAACAAAATAAAGCCACAACACAACTAAATTAAGCCACAACACAATTAAATTAAGCCACAACACATCTAAATTAAGCCAAAACACAGAGAAATAAAGCCACAACAAAGTTAAGCCACAACAAAATGAATCCACAACACTGGTTTGTCAAGATCAGACTCTTATTCCTCGGCTGGGGTCTGAAACTCACATTTGGACCCATTTGAAGTCAATATATGGAGAAAAATCCTGGATTATTTTCCGTAAAAACAGCCATTTTTAGACATTACTGAAATTTTGAATGGAATAAATTACCCCTTTCACACACAGTGGGCACTAAAGTGGACAGCTATTCAAAAAATGCTAATTTTTGCATTTGCATTGGTTTTGATGGCAACCTGTACAAGTGACAAACCAGTCAGAAATGCCAATTTGTGCCAGAATATCAGTTCATTCTGGCAATCCTGTTGTTGCATCAAGTAACATCTAAGGAGTCAAATCTGAAGGGAGACAGACGTGAACATCTTGGATGATGTGGAGAGTAAACTATCAGGAGATTGTGAACTATACTCCTCTAAGCTCGGTCTGTCGGTCTTCATCGTCTCACCTGGTTGAGGGTTTTCTGCAGGAACGGCGTTCCCATGCGGTCGGCCAGGTGTCTATAACTGGGATGAGACAGGAAAAACTTCCTCTCCGCAGCCATAGCCGCGTTAATATCCTTCTTTCCGTCGATGTCTTTCTGACTGCGGTTCACCACACCGATGTAACCTGCAGTCAAACACACACATCATCTGATCTTAGCAGAAACTGATGAGAGATGTTTGACTTCATACTCAGATTGCATGCTTTCTTACTTCTGCAAATGTGAGCATAGTTTGAGACATTTATGCATATTTATATTTATGCATTTTTATATTTATGCCTTTGGCAGAAGGTACACTGCAAATAATCCTTTTCTTACTTAATATTTTTGTCTTGTTTTCAGTCAAAGTATCTAAAAATTCTTAAATCAAGATGCATTTACTAGATGAGTAACATGCCATTAGATATTATGTCTTGTTTTCCAGGGAAATTAATCAAAATTAAGAGAGTTGATTCTTAAAAAAGGCAAAATTATAATGTTATAAATTATAATGTTAATTCAAACAGAAACAGGATTATTTTTCTAACTTCATTGGCAGATCATTTTGCTTTTTTTAAAAAGAAAAATTAGTTTAGACTTAATATCTTATGGCATTTCAGTACTTTAGTAAATGCATTGATATTTGGACTGGAAATACTAAGTAAGAAAATCATTTTTTGCAGTGTAAACATTTGCATTTGATCAGTTCTTGCTTTCTCAGGGAATCGAAGCTTGTTACTCTGAAACCTTGTTAATTATTCACAGAAACTGCTGAGGAGGGTATTGATCTATTTCTATGAGTTACAGGGTGTCCGCGGATCCATAAAACGTCTTAAATTCCTTAGTGTAAAAAATAAGGCCTTAATTAGCATTTAAATGTCCTAAATCCACGAAGCCTTGAGCGCCGATTTAAAAAAGTCCTTAGAGGACAAAAATATCTGTGTCAAAAACTCTTAATAAAGCTTAAGTTTGCTCTCGTTTTAAAGATCTAATTGGCTCTATAATGCAGCAGAGTATTTGCTTTATAGGCAAAACCTGAGAAATAGTGACATCCGTTAAAAAAAAAAAAAAAGTTCACATTTTATATATTTTATATTTTATTATTTTATAGTTAACAGAATTCAGTTTTAATGGGTTTCAATGGGGACAATTTTGTCCTTGAGGTCCTATTTTGTGTATAAATAGATTTATGAAAGGAAATTAGGATGAAATGTGAAAATTCCAATAAAAATACACACTTCTGACAAAAGAATTATGCCGTTTGCATCAACACAGCCAAAATAATGAAAAAATAATAATAATAATAAAAAAGACAGAAAACACACAAGGGTAAAAAAATGCAACGGAATGATTTAGATTTCAATGCATAACGGTTTATAAAGACTGAAATGTTATATATTACTATTTGTATTCACAAATAAAATATTATTAATCCAGCATTAATATTACAAAATAGATTTATTTGATTCTATATTTTCTTTTTAAAACTTACAGAAATGAAAAGCATCCATTGTTCTTTTGATTTGATTTTGGTGGCAAGGTCTTGAGAATGCTATTAAACCACATTAAATTGGATGATGCGTATATGAAGTACACATAGACAAAGAAATATGTCGGATTAAAAGGTTAAACTCTCGTTGCTCATGCTTTCGGATCCGGAAAGAAAGCATGTTTGTGGTTTTGAAGACGCGTTTGATGGGAAAACCCGACGTGTGTGAAACTGCAGCGTCAGCACACCGCTCTCCCATAAACACTCTCTGTTGCCGAGCAGAGAAAGAAAGCAACGTTTTTTCCAGATGTATCACTGAAATGAAGACTTTCTGATTCTCTCTCACACTTCCACTAGAGGGAAACCATGAGGCGAGATCTGGTCAGCCGTAGTTTACTTTTTACTAGTAGTTTGCTGTCACAAATGTTGCTGAAACGTGATATAGTCTTTTCCACTAGTGTTTACAAAGAAAATAAAAGCCTAATAGTACAAATAATATCAATTTGAAATTAATTATTAATTAAATATTTTGTTATACCTGCATGTCAGCCAACATCATTGTTAAATTATAAAATCTCATGGATAAATAAATATTTTAGGACAAAAGTTCAATAGCTGCTCACCGTTTCATCTCAGGACATCCAATGAGAAGTTATTTCAATATATTTAATAAGATTATGAGTAAATGAGCAATGAATTTGTGATATTTAAAAATAAAGTCATTTTATTTCTAATGAATGAGGAAAATAAGAGGGACCTCACAATGTGGGAATTACAATTCGACTACATTTTGCCTTATTAATTTATTTATTTAATAAGTAAAATTTATTTGTGCATTTTTATAAACATAACTAAATACAGGTGAAACCTGAAAAATTAGAATATTGCGCAAAAGTTCATCTATTTCAGTAATTCAACTTAAAAGGTGAAATTTACTAAATATGCATGATTATACTTTTCAGAGGGGCGATATTTATGTATTTAAAACCCTTTTTTATTGATTTCATGTAATATTCTAATTTTCTAAGACTTAGAATTTGGGGTTTTCATAAGCTGTAAGACATAATTATCAAAATTTTCACCTGTAATTATGAGCACTTTTTAAAATAATTACAAATCAATTTTTAACAAAAATGTAATAGTTTCCTAACACAATAATATAATAATAAAGGGGACAAAGAAACACTTTCTTTCACAGTGTTTTCAGTGTCTGAATGTTTGAGGGATTATCGGTTTATATCCAGACCTTGTTTGATGGTTTTAGTTTGTGTGCGACTGTAATTGAATCGTTGAAGAGAGAATGGGATTGAATGCGTTTGAGGGCAAGTTTTGCGAGATGTGATGATGATAAAAGCGTTCTGGCCTCACCTCGTCTCAGAGGCAGGAGCTTGTTTTCCAGGATATCCCGAGCGTCGGTCCCTTCATCCATGAGATCCAGTTTAGTGATGACACCGATAGTCCGCTGACCTGCTCACACACACACAAACACACGACGTGTGAGAACACACACCATTTGGATGCATCACACTGATATTTACCAGTCCCTTTAAGGCAAGTTGTGATTGGCTCGTGATTTAGAAGGCGGGACTTATTCCGTCTTTGTATATGTAACGCTTTTCCCCCAAATAAAGCTGAAATTATCACACATCCCACACAGAACTTAAAGCTGCACCAGTTGTTTCTGTTAATAATCACTAAACACTTCACATTTAGGAGAATAGTTCCTTTAAAATTAGTGATGCGCGATATATCGGCCACCATATCGGTATCGGCTGATATGTTCATTTTTAATGTTATCGTTATCGGCCTGATTAGAAAATGTGTCTGATATTTTAGAGCCGATAAATAATGTATTATTTCCTTCAGATGAGACTCTTCAGATGCGCACTGTTCAACATGATGATTATGAATTGCTTGAAATATGATTGAAATCACTCGAAAAGAGGATAAAACAGCATTATAATTGTGTTTTTGGGACGTGGATTTTAAAGGTGAGACTTTTGTTTTAATAATCAGGCTTTCAAAAATGATATAAAAATTTGGATTTAGATTTATCGGCCAATATGTCGGTCATCGGCTTTCAAATGTGATGAATTATCGGTTATCGGTATAGGCCAAAATTGTCATATCGGTGCATCCCTAGTTAAAAGTCTAAGCCTGTTCAAGTTCATGAAGATAGTTGAGTTTCTGGTAACACTTTACATTAAGGTTTCATTTGTAAACATTAGTTAACTTCGCTAGTTAACATTTACACTTTACATTCTAGCGTTTTTTACGTTGCCAGTCAGATTATTTTTCAACATTTTTGATCATTTTCACAAACTTCCACATTGTATGAATATCTGAACATGCAATATGTCAAACTAAATTATTTATTTTAGTACATTAAGTTAAACTAAATGATGATGGGAAATGTTGCCTTGGCAACTAACTGCAATAAAATAGTTTTTATGGTATTTCAGTTAATGTTTACTTTGCCTTGGCTTTTGGCTTTCTTAGCTGGGGACATTTAATATTCAACAATATTATTAATCTGCCTTACTTAAGGTGGACGATGATGCAATTTTTTTACAAGAAACCAACTTTGTACTAGAAACTCGAAAAATGAGAATATGGTGCAAAAATTTCAGTGATTCAACTTAAACCCCAAATTGTGAAAAGGTTTTCATAAGCTATAATCCATAATCATCACAATTATAACAAATAAAGGCTTGAAATATCTCACTTAGCATGTAATGAGTCTATATAATATATTAGTTTCACCTTTTAAGTTGAATAACTGAAATAAAGTTTTGCACGATATTCTAATTTTTCGAGTTTCACATATAAATAAAGGTGACTTGACTTTATCTCATGTAACAATTTTATTTGTGTGTGTTGTTTTTAAACCCTTTTTTTATAAAATGTAAGCAAATATGAAGTGCTTGAGCTTTTCTGTGCACATAATCAGAGGAATGTGAGGATGGATGCGCATGATGAGCCGAGACGCGGCACACACCCTGCGGGTCGACTTCTTTGGCGATCTTCAGCGCGTCAGAGTTGGCGAGGTCCGAGTTGGCGGGCGATACGGCGAGCAGAAGACAGTTGTCTTTGGTCACGAACTGCATCAGCATATCTCTGATCTGGTGCTCGATGTCTGCCGGCTGATCTCCCACCGGCACTTTAGTCATTCCAGGCAGATCCACCAGCGTCAGGTTCAGTACTGCAGACAAACACACACGTCAGACTAACCCAAACACTGCCATTCTGACAGGAGCTTCTTTAGCTGCAAAAATTTTTTTCCGGTTTCAGTCCAAATATAAAAAAATGCAAAAATCTAAAAGTATTTTGTCTAGTTTGAGTCAAAATATTTAAAAAAATGCTAAAATCTAGATGTATTTTTGTCTGGTTTCAGTCCTAATATCAAAAAATGCTAAAATCTAAAAGTATTTTGTCTGGTTTCAGTCCAAATATCTAAAAATGCTTAAATCTAAAAGTATTTTTGTCTGGTTTCAGTCCAAATATAAAAAATGCTAAAATCTAAAAGTATTTTTGTCCGGTTTCAGTCCAAATAAAAAAAATGCTAAAATCTAAAAGTATTTTGTCTGGTTTCAGTCTAAATATCTAAAAATGCTTAAATCTAAAAGTATTTTTGTCTTGTTTCAGTCCAAAATTCCAAATATAAAAAATGCTAAAATCTAAAAGCATTTTTGTCTTGTTTCAGTCCAAATATAAAAAAATGCTAAAATCTAAAAGTATTTTTGTCTGGTTTCAGTCCAAATATCTAAAAATGCTAAAATCTAAAAGTATTTTTGTCTGGTTTCAGTCCAAATATCTAAAAATGCTTAAATCTAAAAGTATTTTTGTCTTGTTTCAGTTCAAATATCTAAAAATGCTTAAACTTAAAAGTATTTTTGTCTGGTTTCAGTCCAAATATAAAAATGCTAAAATCTAAAAGTATTTTTGTCTGGTTTCAGTCCAAATATAAAAAATGCTAAAATCTAAAAGTATTTTTGTCTGGTTTCAGTCCAAATATAAAAAATGCTAAAATCTAAAAGTATTTTTGTCTGGTTTCAGTCCAAATATCTAAAAATGCTTAAATCTAAAAGTATGTTTGTCTTGTTTCAGTCCAAATATCTAAAAATGCTTAAATCTAAAAGTATTTTTGTCTGGTTTCAGTCCAAATATCTAAAAATGCTAAAACCTAAAAGTATTTTTGTCTGGTTTCAGTCCTAATATCAAAAAATGCTAAAATCTAAAAGTATTTTTGTCTTGTTTCAGTCCAAATATCTAAAAATGCTAAAATCTAAAAGTATTTTTGTCTGGTTTCAGTCCAAATATAAAAAATGCTAAAATCTAAAAGTATTTTTGTCTTGTTTCAGTCCAAATATAAAAAATGCTAAAATCTAAAAGTATTTTTGTCTGGTTTCAGTCCAAATATAAAAAATGCTAAAATCTAAAAGTATTTTTGTCTGGTTTCAGTCCAAATATAAAAAATGCTAAAATCTAAAAGTATTTTTGTCTTGTTTCAGTCCAAATATCTAAAAATGCTTAAATCTAAAAGTATTTTTGTCTCGTTTCAGTCCAAATATCTAAAAATGCTAAAATCTAAAAGTATTTTTGTCTGGTTTCAGTCTAAATATCTAAAAATGCTTAAATCTAAAAGTATTTTTGTCTTGTTTCAGTCCAAAATTCCAAATATAAAAAATGCTAAAATCTAAAAGCATTTTTGTCTTGTTTCAGTCCAAATATAAAAAAATGCTAAAATCTAAAAGTATTTTTGTCTGGTTTCAGTCCAAATATCTAAAAATGCTAAAATCTAAAAGTATTTTTGTCTGGTTTCAGTCCAAATATCTAAAAATGCTTAAATCTAAAAGTATTTTTGTCTTGTTTCAGTTCAAATATCTAAAAATGCTTAAACTTAAAAGTATTTTTGTCTGGTTTCAGTCCAAATATAAAAAATGCTAAAATCTAAAAGTATTTTTGTCTGGTTTCAGTCCAAATATAAAAAATGCTAAAATCTAAAAGTATTTTTGTCTGGTTTCAGTCCAAATATAAAAAATGCTAAAATCTAAAAGTATTTTTGTCTTGTTTCAGTCCAAATATCTAAAAATGCTTAAATCTAAAAGTATTTTTGTCTCGTTTCAGTCCAAATATCTAAAAATGCTAAAATCTAAAAGTATTTTTGTCTGGTTTCAGTCTAAATATCTAAAAATGCTTAAATCTAAAAGTATTTTTGTCTTGTTTCAGTCCAAAATTCCAAATATAAAAAATGCTAAAATCTAAAAGCATTTTTGTCTTGTTTCAGTCCAAATATAAAAAAATGCTAAAATCTAAAAGTATTTTTGTCTGGTTTCAGTCCAAATATCTAAAAATGCTAAAATCTAAAAGTATTTTTGTCTGGTTTCAGTCCAAATATCTAAAAATGCTTAAATCTAAAAGTATTTTTGTCTTGTTTCAGTTCAAATATCTAAAAATGCTTAAACTTAAAAGTATTTTTGTCTGGTTTCAGTCCAAATATAAAAAATGCTAAAATCTAAAAGTATTTTTGTCTGGTTTCAGTCCAAATATAAAAAATGCTAAAATCTAAAAGTATTTTTGTCTGGTTTCAGTCCAAATATCTAAAAATGCTTAAATCTAAAAGTATGTTTGTCTTGTTTCAGTCCAAATATCTAAAAATGCTTAAATCTAAAAGTATTTTTGTCTGGTTTCAGTCCAAATATCTAAAAATGCTAAAACTAAAAGTATTTTTGTCTGGTTTCAGTCCTAATATCAAAAAATGCTAAAATCTAAAAGTATTTTTGTCTTGTTTCAGTCCAAATATCTAAAAATGCTAAAATCTAAAAGTATTTTTGTCTGGTTTCAGTCCAAATATAAAAAATGCTAAAATCTAAAAGTATTTTTGTCTTGTTTCAGTCCAAATATAAAAAATGCTAAAATCTAAAAGTATTTTTGTCTGGTTTCAGTCCAAATATAAAAAATGCTAAAATCTAAAAGTATTTTTGTCTGGTTTCAGTCCAAATATAAAAAATGCTAAAATCTAAAAGTATTTTTGTCTGGTTTCAGTCCAAATATAAAAAATGCTAAAATCTAAAAGTATTTTTGTCTGGTTTCAGTCCAAATATAAAAAATGCTAAAATCTAAAAGTATTTTTGTCTGGTTTCAGTCCAAATATCTAAAAATGCTTAAATCTAAAAGTATGTTTGTCTTGTTTCAGTCCAAATATCTAAAAATGCTTAAATCTAAAAGTATTTTTGTCTGGTTTCAGTCCAAATATCTAAAAATGCTAAAACCTAAAAGTATTTTTGTCTGGTTTCAGTCCTAATATCAAAAAATGCTAAAATCTAAAAATATTTTTGTCTTGTTTCAGTCCAAATATCTAAAAATGCTAAAATCTAAAAGTATTTTTGTCTGGTTTCAGTCCAAATATAAAAAATGCTAAAATCTAAAAGTATTTTTGTCTTGTTTCAGTCCAAATATAAAAAATGCTAAAATCTAAAAGTATTTTTGTCTGGTTTCAGTCCAAATATAAAAAATGCTAAAATCTAAAAGTATTTTTGTCTGGTTTCAGTCCAAATATAAAAAATGCTAAAATCTAAAAGTATTTTTGTCTTGTTTCAGTCCAAATATCTAAAAATGCTTAAATCTAAAAGTATTTTTGTCTCGTTTCAGTCCAAATATCTAAAAATGCTTAAATCTAAAAGTATTTTTGTCTGGTTTCAGTCCAAATATCTAAAAATGCTAAAACCTAAAAGTATTTTTGTCTGGTTTCAGTCCAAATATCTAAAAATGTTAAAATCTAAAAGTATTTTTGTCTGGTTTCAGTCCAAATATAAAAAATGCTAAAATCTAAAAGTATTTTTGTCTTGTTTCAGTCCAAATATAAAAAATGCTTAAATCTAAAAGTATTTTTGTCTTGTTTCAGTCCAAATATAAAAAATGCTAAAATCTAAATGTATTTTTGTCTGGTTTCAGTCCAAATATCTAAAAATGCTTAAATCTAGATGTATTTTTGTCTGGTTTCAGTCCAAATATAAAAAATGCTAAAATCTAAAAGTATTTTGTCTTGTTTCAGTCCAAATATCTAAAAATGCTTAAATCTAAAAGTATTTTTGTCTTGTTTCAGTCCAAATATCTAAAAATGCTTAAATCTAAAAGTATTTTTGTCTGGTTTCAGTCCAAATATCTAAAAATGCTAAAACTAAAAGTATTTTTGTCTGGTTTCAGTCCAAATATCTAAAAATGTTAAAATCTAAAAGTATTTTTGTCTGGTTTCAGTCCAAATATAAAAAATGCTAAAATCTAAAAGTATTTTTGTCTTGTTTCAGTCCAAATATCTAAAAATGCTTAAATCTAAAAGTATTTTTGTCTGGTTTCAGTCCAAATATAAAAATGCTAAAATCTAAAAGTATTTTGTCTGGTTTCAGTCCAAATATCTAAAAATGCTTAAATCTAAAAGTATTTTTGTCTCGTTTCAGTCCAAATATCTAAAAATGCTTAAATCTAAAAGTATTTTTGTCTGGTTTCAGTCCAAATATCTAAAAATGCTAAAACCTAAAAGTATTTTTGTCTGGTTTCAGTCCAAATATCTAAAAATGCTTAAATCTAGATGTATTTTTGTCTGGTTTCAGTCCAAATATAAAAAATGCTAAAATCTAAAAGTATTTTGTCTTGTTTCAGTCCAAATATCTAAAAATGCTTAAATCTAAAAGTATTTTTGTCTTGTTTCAGTCCAAATATCTAAAAATGCTTAAATCTAAAAGTATTTTTGTCTGGTTTCAGTCCAAATATCTAAAAATGCTAAAACCTAAAAGTATTTTTGTCTGGTTTCAGTCCAAATATCTAAAAATGTTAAAATCTAAAAGTATTTTTGTCTGGTTTCAGTCCAAATATAAAAATGCTAAAATCTAAAAGTATTTTTGTCTTGTTTCAGTCCAAATATCTAAAAATGCTTAAATCTAAAAGTATTTTTGTCTGGTTTCAGTCCAAATATAAAAAATGCTAAAATCTAAAAGTATTTTGTCTGGTTTCAGTCCAAATATCTAAAAATGCTTAAATCTAAAAGTATTTTTGTCTGGTTTCAGTCCAAATATAAAAAATGCTAAAATCTAAAAGTATTTTTGTCCGGTTTCAGTCAAAATAAAAAATGCTAAAATCTAAAAGTATTTTTGTCTGGTTTCAGTCTAAATATCTAAAAATGCTTAAATCTAAAAGTATTTTTGTCTTGTTTCAGTCCAAAATTCCAAATATAAAAAATGCTAAAATCTAAAAGTATTTTTGTCTTGTTTCAGTCCAAATATAAAAAATGCTAAAATCTAAAAGTATTTTTGTCTGGTTTCAGTCCAAATATCTAAAAATGCTAAAATCTAAAAGTATTTTTGTCTGGTTTCAGTCCAAATATCTAAAAATGCTTAAATCTAAAAGTATTTTTGTCTGGTTTCAGTCCAAATATAAAAAATGCTAAAATCTAAAAGTATTTTTGTCCGGTTTCAGTCCAAATAAAAAAAATGCTAAAATCTAAAAGTATTTTTGTCTGGTTTCAGTCCAAATATCTAAAAATGCTAAAATCTAAAAGTATTTTTGTCTGGTTTCAGTCTAAATATCTAAAAATGCTTAAATCTAAAAGTATTTTTGTCTTGTTTCAGTCCAAAATTCCAAATATAAAAAATGCTAAAATCTAAAAGTATTTTTGTCTTGTTTCAGTCCAAATATAAAAAATGCTAAAATCTAAAAGTATTTTTGTCTGGTTTCAGTCCAAATATCTAAAAATGCTTAAATCTAGATGTATTTTTGTCTGGTTTCAGTCCAAATATCTAAAAATGCTAAAATCTAAAAGTATTTTTGTCTGGTTTCAGTCCAAATATCTAAAAATGCTTAAATCTAGATGTATTTTTGTCTGGTTTCAGTCCAAATATCTAAAAATGCTCAGAAAAATAATGTTAATTTAAACAGAAACAAGATTATTTTTCTTACCTAATTGGCTTTTTTTGGCCTAACTCACTTACTATTGATAGATTTCTCCAGAAAACAAGACATAATATCTTATATAACTCATCTAGTAAATGCATCTTGATTTAAGAGTCTTTAGATATTTGTAAAGAACTGTAATCGCATTCTATGATCCGAGCTGTGATCTGACCGTTTGGCGAATAGACCCGCAGGTTGATGGGCACGGGTGAGATGCCTTTATTCTGTCCCGTGACCCGATCCGTCTCCGCCTCGATCTCCTGACGCACCTCATCGAAATCCGTGAACTTCTTCCCCTTACAGTGGAGGAACTCGGCATATTCTGAGAGGACACAGAGATCATTACACAATATAATCTCGGAAATAATAGAGAGAAATGTCAATGTTTTTGATAATATAATAGTTTTTTTACTAAAAAAAATGTTTTTAGCATCATATTTATGAGAATACCTGTTTTGTTTTATAATATTTGCAAATTTACTGCAGATGCTGCATAAAATTAAAATTTACTGCATAAAATTAAATTTACTGCAGATGCTGCATATTTACAGATGAAACTCGAAAAATTTGAATATCGTGCAAAAGTTATAATTTTGATGATTATGGCTTCTTATGAAAACCCCAAATTCAAAATCCCATAAAATTAGAATATTACATTAAATAAATAAATAAAGGATTTTAAATGTCTGCCCTCTGAAAAGTATAATCATGCATATGTATATAGTTGCTAATGTATAGTTGCATCAGATGTCTGCACTTATAAGTGTCTCATATTCATTAAATTTAATATTGCACATATTTTATATATTGCACATATTTATATTTATGCTGTTTCTCTTTTACTTGTCTTCTGTTTCTATTCAGAGCCGTGCAACGAAATCTCGTTCAACTGTATATCCTGAATGTACTGTTCAATGACAATAAAGTCTGTCTAAGATTAAGTCTAGTTATATATTAGCTTCACCTTTTAATTTGAATTACTGAAATACACAAACCGATGCACGATATTCTCATTTTTCAAGTTTCACCTGAATATGACAAACATTAAGATGAAATTCTGATGCTTGTAATGCAAATTGAGATCTTTATAACAGTCTAAAAGATACTTACATACAATGCATATAAATGCATTGCTTTGTATATAAACTATAGTATAGAGCTTTGATCATAAAACTAAGCATTTAAATAGCATCTTACTAAGACTTATTATTGGCAGATATTGATATTTATATGACAAAAAGATGAAACTAATGCTTGTAATGTAAATCAATGAGGTCTTTATGAACAAAATACTGACATAAAATGCATATAAATATAAATATCTGATGAGAGATGTACAAATAAACCTTCCTCAAAAGCTTGATGATCATATTTGATACACATGATTGTAATTAAAAAATGATAAATATATATATATATATATATATATATATATATATATAATCAAGTAAACCTGCTTCAGTCCAGCAAGTTCATCTTAAAATATTACTAACTAGATAAAAGTTATTCTTACATTAACATTGTGATGAGGTAATTAACTTTACAGCAAGGTGTTGATCATGTTGATCGATTAGAGATCCACTAATCAGTAAAGATCAACTAATTAGTAAATATCAATAGTTGCTGCTGTAAGTCTGCTCCACTAGAGGGCAGTGTTTCTCAGAGCTTTGTCCTGTTCCTGCAGTCAAACCTGATCCCAGACCAGCGCCGGCCCGCTGAAGCGGATGCTGATGTCATGCTAACCTGCTGTTGCTAGGCGACCGGACTCACCTGTGGGGCAGTTGATGAGCTGGAGGACGAGCGGACGGCGGGTGACGATGCCAGATCCGCGCGGGAGGAAGTCCCTAAGGAACAGAGTTAGAGATGCATCATTCTACACACAACTTTACTCTAGCGATCCGTTTTAAAGAAACAAACAGGTTGTGTAGAAGGAGAAATGTCTTAAATTAATGCATTTTTTTCTAGTGATAACATGTTTACAAGCTGATTAACTCATAAACTAATCAAAATTTGAAAAAAAAAATGGATTTAAACAAGATTATTTAATAATCTTGGGAACCTCTCTATACCATACATGTAGTGCCTGAACCTTTAAGGTGAAATTAGAATACCGTGAAAAAACCTCATTTATTTCAGTAAAAGGTGAAACTAATATATTATATAGACTCATTACATGATAAAATTGTATTTTATTAAAATGTATTCATTTTTTAAATCTATTGCTCTGAGAACGTGAAGAATTTGTGGGACGAATAAATAATGTCAGCAAATCATATAATAATAATACATAAATATTGTTTAGTGTGCAATGCAAAAGAAAAGTTAAATTAGAATACCAAAATATGCCAGCAAATTACATTTTAAATGTTAACATGTTTATTTACAATCCTGATTTATTTCTAGTAAAATTGTGTTTCATAAAACTTAGAATAATTTTTAATCCTTAAAAGAATTTGCGGAACCAGTTTTGTTAGCGGCACAAATATTGTGATGTGCAGCAAATCATATAATAATAATAAATAAATATTGTTCAATGTGCATTGCAAAAGAAATGTTAAAATAAAACATTAATTTAATTTTACATTTTTATATCTAACACATTGCATGTTCATTAAAGGGATAGTTTGGCCAAAAATTAAAATTAGCCCATGATTTACTCACCCTAAGTGTGTATGACATTATTCTGTCAGACGAATACAAATCAGAGTTAAATTCATTTTTTTTTTTTTTTTAAATGGTTCTTCCAAGCATTATAAATGGATGTGTGTCTTTGGAAGTCCATCAGTGCAACTATCCATGATAAAGTGCTCGACTCGACTAAAAGCCTTCTGAAGTTTGTTTAAGAAAAATACCCATATTTAAAACTGTACTGACTAACATAACTATATAAACAGCCATTATAAAGCAGGGAAGAGCCAGGATATTTATTAATATAACTAGAATAATGTCATACACACAGGATGGCTTCAGGGAGAGTAAATCATGGGCTAATTTAAATTTTTGGGTGAACTATCCCTTTAACATTACATTATAATAGTTTGCTTATTTTTAGGTTATTAATAGCCTAGTTACATTACATTTCTCGTGATAATAACGGTCATTTATTCTCTGTATTAATGGCTCTCTATCTCTGAGAAACACGGCTGTGAGTTCTGCACAAGCAAACATGTTCGGTCAGAAGAGAGTGTGTGTGAGAGTGTGTGTGACGATCTGATCCTCCAGATGGCATTCACCACAGGTTCTCCTGACAGACATTACACCGGCCATATGGACACACTGATCCAATCACACCAGACAATAATCACTATTGATCTGAAGGACGGACATAGCATTCACACACACACACACACACACTTAATTATTTTTTTGGCATGTATATTTCTCTCGGTATTTCTTATTTTTAGTGCTGGGCAGTGATTAATCACATCCAAAATAAAAGTTTGTTTATATAATACATGTGTGTGTGCTGTGTATAATTATTTTGTATATATAGATACACACATGAATCTATATATTTAAGAAAAATATATGTTATTTATATATAACATATTTATATATATACATATATATATATATATATATATATATATATGAGTAGTACAATTTGTACATGCATATGTGTGTATTTATATATACAAAATTATTATACACAGCACACACACATGTATTATATAAACAAACTTTTATTTTGGATGTGATTAATCGTTGCCTGAAACTACATTATTTAGATTTTAGGGTGAAATGTGACCTGGGCAGATTCACTAAAACACTGGAATCCCTGCAGCCCAGGCTCACAAACATCCCATAATAACAGCAGCTGTGTGTGTGTGTCTGTGTGTGTGTGTGTGTGTGTTTCCCTGTGGAGGAGACGCAGAGGAGGACAAAAAAAGATGTCTTTCTCTCTCCTCTCTCTCGCCCCATCCCCCAGTGTCTGCAGGCAGCTGTGATGATTGACAGTCTGGTTTGGCTCCTCCCCCTTCCCATATAATCCCAGAGCTCCGCCCTCCTCCTCCCCCACCGCATGCAGCGTCAGCGTCACACACACACACACAAACACTGGGACGATTACAGCAGAAAGTCAACACGACCACCAGATTTCAACGGTAAAAAAGAGAGAGAGGAAGAATGCATCGAATGTAGATAGATAGATAGACAGGTAGATAGACATATAGACAGATGGATAGATAGAGAGATAGACAGATAGATAGATAGACATATAGACAGGTAGATAGATAGACAGATAGACAGACAGACAGACAGACAGACAGACAGACAGATAGATAGATAGATAGATAGATAGATAGATAGATAGATAGATAGATAGATAGATAGATAGATAGATAGATAGATAGATAGATAGATAGATAGATAGATAGTCTTTGAGATGACATTATAATGTCCTGCTGTTTTCTACTGTTAGGTCTGCAGGTCTGGCTGGTTAACTCACACACCCAACACAAACACCACCTGCTCACGTGTGTGTGTGTGTGTGTGTGTGTGTGTGTGTGTGTGTGTGTGTGTGTGTGTGTGGTTGATTAACACACTGCGAAATCTGTGCCATGCCAAGACATCCCTGTCCTCTCAATGTTAGACGTGATCGACAAACCACACTACCTCAAGGTCACACACACACACACACACACTTTATAAATGAAATAAACTACACTCGTAAAAGCTAATTTGGGGTTAGAAGCAAGCGTTGGGTTAAACGCCTGGGTTTGTCTATATCTGACCCAAATTTGGGTTGAAACAACCCAGCATCTTTTAAGAGAGTTTAGTATGAGAAACCATGATACTTTAAACTCTCTGAATGATTAAAAAGAGCTTTTATGGTGTATTTGCAGGTATGATGGTGTGCATTAGTGGACAGGTCACACACACACTCCGGCGAATGAAGCGTCAGATTAAAGCAGCGAGTGAACCCACGACCTCAGATTACAGGTAATCCTGCTAAACCCGGCTCACAACACTCCCAGCACCAGACCCGCATCTGACAGTGATATAGACCAGCTTCATCAATGCAGTTCAAACTCGCAGATTAAGACACACTACACACGAGTCTCCTTCATTTATAGAGTTATCTCCAGTTTCACAGCAGCTTTACAGTGCAGATTACTAGTGCGAACGACCCTCGTGTTGCTCACTGCAAAAAAAATGCTCGTTCTACTCAGTATTTCAGTCTTTATGACAGTATTTGTCTCGTTTCCAGTGCAAATATCTAAACATTCTTAAATCAAGATGCATTCACTAGAGGAGTAAAATGACATTAGATATTATGTCTTGTTTTCTGGGAAATAAACTAAAAGTGAATTGTTGATTAAAAAAAGCTAAATTATCTCCCAATGGGGTCACAAAAATAATCTTGTTTCTGTTTGAATTAACATTATTTTTCTGACCCCATTTATTTCCTCAGAAAACAGGACATAATATCTAATAGCATGTTACTCATCTAGTAAATGAATCTTGATTTAAGATTTTTTTAGATATTAGGACTGGAAACAAGACAAACATATTAAGTAAGATAGATCTGAATAGTAGACGGCTCAGTGTTAGACAGCAGGCGCTGTCCGCGGTGCTGAAACAACACACACTTGGAAATACTCGGCAATGCTGTCCACTTATCAACTTACACATGATTTAATTAAAAACACCACATACACACATAAACAACATTAAAAGCTGGATGTTCACCACAGGGGGACTTTAAAGACAGCTCTACTGTGAGCTATAGGTTTTTAATTTAAGTTGAAACCCACATTATTACAGCTTTTTTAATATAATCATGTTATAAATAAACTACATTAGCCATGATGCTGTACAGAAAATTAGAGTTGAAGAAAGCAACATGCGCTAAAAGATCTCATTAGCTCCGCCCACTCCCATGAAGCACTGCGAGTGACATAATCAAGTTAATCTCTCTCCGCTCCCGTTAAAACATTGTTTTTAACTCTATTATGCTGTTCGCAATTCTTCATGGGATTGTAGTTTAGTGGGACTTGTAGTCCTTCATTAAAGTTGATAAGTTTTACAGTTTTTGTCTGATTTTCTAATATTTTTTTTTTGCTTTAAATCAAAGTTTGTAGTGTTATGATTCTCCTCGTAGCCGATTGTCTTAGTTCATGGTTTCTAACGCTTGAAATATTAAATGCAAAGATTATAGATTTCCTTCAGAAAATGTGCTTCCTATTCTATGTTATAGAAATCATATCGATATAGCAGTTTTTTTGTGTTTTTTTGTGGAAAACTACATCCAAAGCACACAAACAATGCATCACCCAAGACAAAACGCAATGTAACCAACTTATGCAAACATAAGACTGACCGTTTCTATTAAAAGTAAAAAGGATCACCAGCAAGCAGCTTAATCCAGGCCACAAGATTACAAACGCAGAAGAGCATCCAGTGATCGTGTGAGAATGTGTTCATGAAACACACATAACCTTATGCACATCACTTCATCTGGTTCATCAAGTCTTGTCTGGTCCACACTTTAAAAACACGAACAGACTCGGTTATTAGAAAATATTGCACATCGTTAGTCATGTTAGTTTTTAATGCATTAACTACTGGGGGGGGGGAATGAGACCTTATAAAGTGTAACCTTGTTTGTTTCTGAAAGCTTGAACTGTGTTTTCAGTAAATGAGGATTGAATATAATAATTATATAATAGGTGTTTTGTCACTTGTTTTTTTGTAATATTGTGCAATATATGATTTACAGTAAGTTTCTGTAGCCAAAACAATGGCTTAATATTTTTGTATGTTTTTCTGTTTCTTAGTTTTGAGATTCATAGCCCTTTTACTGTTTTTTTGCTGAAATGTATATTTGTAGACTCCCGATGTG